TGTTGCTGTGTAATAGTTTGGTGTGACTAGGCTTTGGTAGGTGATGGGTGGTCTTACTGGGTGGGTGATGGTGGGTGGCAGGCAGGTGAGGGTGGCCCCCAGCAGTATATTGGCCTCACACCGGGAGTAAACCTCTCAGGGGAGGAGGTTTTATGGGCCATCGTGCCCTCTACCTCCCTGCCTGTCAACTGGATATTGACCTCCCAGCCTCACCACACACAAGGTCACGCCCCATCCTAAGTGTGTGTGTGTGTGTGGTCACCGTACATCACGTGGTAGCGTCACCAACGGTAAAACATGGGCCTCATCACTTTAAAACTGAAATATTTCACAGTGCACAAATATTTATTCTTTTAAAACAAACAATCCAGCTATAACGGGTGTAATATGTACATATATACGTCTACACTATATGGGTGACGTGTGTGTGTGTGTGTGTGTGTGTGTGTGTGTGTGTGTGTGTGTGTGTGTGTGTGTGTGTGTGTGTGTGTGTGTGTGTGTGCGTGCGTGCGTGCGCGTGCGTGCGTGCGTGTGTGTGTGTGTGTGTGTGTGTGTGTGAGTGTGTGTGTGTGTGTCGCCGTCCTCAGATTTTCTTGCTAATTAATATATGATGAGAGACTCTCTCAAGAACATTTTCTTAAGGTTTTAATCACGTAATTTTCGACGTACTGCAAAAAAAAAAAAAAAATCTTAATAATTTTGATATACCTTTCCCTGGAGACCTTCACTCACTTCAGATTGGTCGGCATGTTTGACACTGGTGCTTGAGGAGCCAGCCCAGACGGTAGCTCCTCAGGCTGGTCTTCCGGGTGATGATACTCAACTGCTTCCAACACACTCTTAGTTCTGTTAATCTTCTCAACACTAACAGACAACAGACTCTGTACCTCACACAGACGGTCCAGTAACTCCTCTATGTATATACTCAGACAATGAGGTTTTCCTTTTCTGTGAGTGCTCCCGAGGCAGACAGCTCGATAGGTCCTTTCATTAGCTCGTTTTTAACTCGTTACAGAAAGTGGGAGAACTATTTTGTCTGTATGATCACGGACAATGAGACAGATCCTCTTCTCATATATTGCCACACAGACTCTGAGCCATTTTTTTTTACTGAACCCCACCATAGAGGGAAGGAGAGGGGGGTGGGTTAACTCGCTGTGTACTCCTGCACAAACATTAAGAGAGCTGAACTCTTACTCAGACATTAAGGCAATTCGTCTCTCTTTATGTCTCCACAGCTGGCCATTGTGAGGTGGAGGGCCTCCTCTCCCCTCTCACGGTAGTAAAACAGACAGAGAGCTCTTACATGGGCGGTCATGGCTGGTCCAGATATCCAGGCGGGGTTCCGTGCTTATTGTCCGTACGTCATCTCTGGGTCCTGGCTCTGGACGTGGATTCTCAAGTGTTCGTACGATAAGTTCTTCCCTAAACTCAAGTTGTGAGATCTCGTATTATGGCATTAAGATGGCGCCTCAAATGGCCTCGAAATTGCAATGAGATTCAGCCGTAATTAGATACATTGTCTTATCTCAACGTAGAGGAAGTTTAGCGTAAATATCTTTGAAAATTCGGTCATTAGGCGATGGGTGTTAGCGACGGTAACTTAAGATTGTCATGTATAAACGAGTGACGGTGAGTGGGAGAGACAGCGGTGACGGGGAGCTTGACAAAGTTGATGCTGGATTATTAAATATATTGTTGTGGTGAGGAACGAGCAGCAGCCTCCCGCTGGCACTTGTATGAGCCGTTCACCTTATCTTGGTAGTCCCTCAGGTCGCCCGCCCGCTGGAAATGAAGTTATCTGCGCCCCCACCAGCAGCGCGCCCCCACTAGCAGCTCCCACACCCCTCCTCCACCAACAGCGCTCCACACCCCTCCTCCACCAACAGCGCTCCACACCCCTCCTCCACCAACAGCGCCCCACACCCCGTCTCACTTTCCTCTGTTTCGAAGGGGAGTCTCAAGGGAAATTTTGGAAATGAAGTGGACGTATAAAAATTCCTGGTTGCCGTCGTGGCCTTGCATTCTGAATGCATGCAATTGGGTCCCGGGTGATCCCTTTTTATTAGTGGATGTTTATGATTTGATGTTGGCGTGAGCAGCATGCTGGCGCGCCTCTGTGGCGCCAATGTTTTGAGTATTACTTTCCTCTTTCCGAAAAACTTCGAGATGAACCACAACATTTCATATAATAAGTGGAGCGAACTGCGCAGTGTGTTATCCGTACCACAATCATTTAAAGTCTGAGTTTCTCCTGAGATAACCTTAAGATTTCGTGATCATCGTTGAACAAATATTGGTTTATGTTAGTCCTTCTAAATTTATATCGAATCTTGGATTTAAGCTCCCGGTTTTCATAGTAATTATTATCAACTAAAATATTAAATTCTTGCCATTTTAAAGGAGTTGTTGAGAGATTACATTTGTTTATGTTGATATCCCAGACGGTGAGCGTAAGGAGCCGCTGCCCGCCTGCTGGTGTGTGGTGGGGGCCTCGCCTCAGGGGACATCATTGTAAGCAGCTCCCCACTAGTTGTGTGGGCCATGTTAAGTAGTGGCGGAGACGTTTCTATTCCAGGTCGTTAGTTAGTCTTGAGGAAGAACGGGGAGGATAGAAGGACAAGTCATAATGGCAAGTCCAACAACAGCATTAGTCGGTATTCACGAGCCCCACCTGAAGGAGCCCTGACGGAGACTTGAGCGTTTGCATGCCATTAAATGCTGGGCAGCGGGAGCTCTGGGGCCCGGGATCTCGTTCCCGGAGATAACAACGTCTTGTGTCAAGATTTAGGAGGACAGAGGAGGGTTGGCGGCCGAGTATCTGGTGGTAGAGGCTGGCGCAGGTGGGTCACATATTCCTGTCTCTTGTTGTTCTGTTTCTCTCACTCACTGACGGCTCTTGTCTCGCCTGGCATTGCTTTCTTTACGTATGGGTCGGTTCCTTTGTTTACTGAAGAGGATAGAGTAGGGGAAGGTGGGCGGCCGAGTACCAGAGCTCGTGCTGTGTTATACATGTTCCTGTCTTTTGTTGTGCATTTCCCTCACTCACTCGCCCGTTCACTCACTCTCTCCCCCCGGTATAGTGCCTCCATACACTCCCTGCCCCGGCATAGTGCCTCCATACACACCCTGCCTCGGTATAGTGACCCCACACACACCCTGCCTCGGTATAGTGCCCCCACACACACCCTGCCTCGGTATAATGCCTCCATACACACCCTGCCCCGGCATAGTGCCTCCATACACACCCTGCCTCGGTATAGTGCCCCCACACACACCCTGCCTCGGTATAGTGCCTCCATACACACCCTGCCCCGGGAGACTATGGATCTATGAGATGGTGTCGGCGGCCGAGTTGTTATTTACGTGAGATGAAAAACCCTTGACTCAAATGGACTTCCGGTGGGACTGAACGCCATCTCACTCCCCCCCCCCCCTCCCCCCCCCCCCCCACACACACATTAACCCGTAAGAAAATGTACTTGGCGAGCGGGAAGGTTGTGTGACGTTACCATGACGAGGATTGAACCCCGTCATATAGTGCATCTTAACCCCTTGAGTACGATGATGTGACAGGCCCTTTGAATACAATGTTATTATACTCTTTGTTATAAAATATAAGTCCATTTCCTGCTCGTGTATAAGTCCATCTTTGCTTCAAGTATTCGTATTTTTCCTCACATGCAAATCCACTTCCTCTATATGTATAAATCTATTTTCTGTTAATAAGCCAATTTTCTTTTTATTAATACCTATTCTCTCTTGAGATATAATTTTATTTTCTGTTTTTTATTAATTTTCTAGTAATTTACAATATTATTCCCTTTTCATATACTTATCCGTCTATCTTCATATACAAGTCCATTTCCTCTTCCAGATCTTCTTTTCCCCAGATATTTTACTCCCCATTTTTTGTGCGCTAGAAACATATATTTATTGTTATGTTTCCAGCGGTTGTTTTAATACTTTACTTTTTTTTTTGGGGGGGGGATGGTTAGCCCTCCGTTGGCCCCGTTTTCTGTTCAGGATTTTTAATACGTGACTAAATTGTTGGAACAGACGAACACGTTTTGTGGTGATTGTATGTTTGTGTGTGGGTCTTGTTCCTTCCCTGATATCCTGCTGCTGGAAAAGGATAACGGGAGCATATTTCTGTGATATATAGTGAACACCTCTAGTAGTGAACACCTCTAGTAGTGAACACATCTAGTAGTGAACACTCTAGTAGTGAACACCTCTAGTAGTGAACACCTCTAGTAGTGAACACCTCTAGTAGTGAACACCTCTAGTAGTGAACACATCTAGTAGTTAACACCTCTAGTAGTGAACACATCTAGTAGTGAACACTCTAGTAGTGAACACATCTAGTAGTGAACACCACTATTTAACACCTCCAGTAATGAACACCTCCACTATTTAACACCTTCAGTTGATATATATATATTTTTTATTAAATTTTGTACTGTTTATACTCTTAATAATCTTAGTATTATATTTACTTCACTATATTAATTCAATTATTTATTCTTTTACTTCATGTGTCGAAAGTTGAGTCAGTTAGTTTTCTTTATTTTTTTATGATGGGTCAAATAACATATTTTAATATTGAAAAGTAAGGTGTGTGTGTGTGTGTGTGTGTGTGTGTGTGTGTGTGTGTGTGTGTGTGTGTGTGTGTGTGTGTGTGTGTTTTTTTTTTTTAAGACAGTCGAGGAAGTGAAACAAATCTTGACGTGTCCGTAGAGTTTATTGATAGCTATTGTGGCTCTGTGTATGATATTTGTGTGTGGGTGAATTTTATCAAGACTCGGAGGCGGTAAGTATGAGGTCAGCCGACACCTTTATAGCCAAGATATGGATTATTTTATGTGGTGAGGGGCATACACAATGGCACGTGAAGGTGTAGTGTGGTGTAGATGTCCGGGTGTTGTGTGTATGTGTGTGTTTTAACAGTTGTCCCTTTAGGTTTGTGATAATACAGTGTTTGTTTGTTGTCGTTGCAG